GGTTATCTTTTAACTACTACTACCTCCGGTCCTAATTATAAGACCCAGTTGATTAATTTGAGGAGATTAAAGAAAGAAGTTAAGTTAGTTATTTGTAATAAATAGGTGTTGCCTTTCCTAAAATATCCTTACTAATCAACTATATTGGCTGGGACTACAATTATTAGAAGGACTATTTTGGAAAAAAAATACATAAATATTAGAGACAAAGTGGATTGGGGTCTTATATTTAGGATCAAAATAAAAGTCAAATAGAGTCTTATATTAAGGATTGGATATAGTATTATTATTATTTATTATTCTTCCCCTAAAAGAGCATGGAGATACTGAGTGGGCTAACGGCCCACGTTTGATTTAAAAATAGAAAATGCTTTTGAAATATAGCAGTTTAATTTTTTGCCAGATTTTGAAATGGTAGTTTCTTTGGGTGACAACTCGGCTACGGAGCCACGAAGCCAGTATAACGAATCTTTCTTTTTGGGACCAAATATGATGAATCTTGGGTCAAGAGAGAATTATCAATAGATATTGATATATTGTTCTCCAATTTCACTTTCCCCAGTTTTATCGACGGGAAATTTTGCGGAATAATAAATTAGTAGTTTTCCTTCTTTTTGAGAAAGGCACCAAAAAAGAGTGGAATGACAATTATCTCCTTGCCGAGAACTGGGGCAATTGATTAACATAATCAGCCCACAATGATCGGATCATCTTGGGCGAATATGAAATCTGTACACTGCGAACTATTCCTTTGATAAAGAAGGGTAAAGAGTGAGAGTTGGGAGAATTAGAAATGTTCAAAAATTTCCGTTGAGTTGTGAAGTCATGGTACGAAATTTAGTTGGGCAAATAATGGGGACGGAGATTCTTTAATTCATGAACAATAAGAACCGTGGCTTTTAGATTTTTTTTTTGCAAGGCACGGGTATTCTCTCCTGGAGACAATTCTGTTTGAAACATTATTAGGCACTAAATATAAACATGCTCCTAATGAAATTCAAACATTAATTTATCACATCATAAAAAACTAATCTCTTTCAGGACATGCCTCTAAGCTTAGAGAGCACTTACAGATATATTTACAGATCACTCACCAATAAGGTCCTCACACGACAGCGGAATTTGAACTCATGACCTTGTGAGTTATGAGTTAATTCTTTACCAACTAGACCGACTCTTGTTAGCATGTAACTTTTTTTTTTTTTTGCTAAAGTATAGATATTCTCCTATTAGAGACAGTCTTATTCGAGATACAGTTGAACACTAAATGTGAGCACCTCTTTTAGTGAGAATTTGAATATTATTTTGTCATATTGTGAGGGACAAGTTCCTTTCACTAGATCCAATACTATTGGCGGCATGTAGTTATTAGTTAATTGTAAGTTGATGAAATTTGCTCCAAAAAAAAAAGTTGATTAAAAGCTTTGCAAGAGGTCCATGTTAACCCACGGTAAATCAGCCCACCATTTAAACCCATCTAACATCACTCATCGGCCCATTTTACCCAAGAAAACAAAAAATAATTTAAAAAGCCACGACACACGGGCTCAAATTCAATCCAGTGTTGTTGATCGAATTCCACAGTTTAAAGCTGCAGATTTTGTAACCAAAAAGAGCTCTGTAGATTTGATGGCCCAATGCCAGGTCGATGCTCCCCCATTTTGAATAGAAACTCGTATCACATAAGGTGGGCAATTTAACCCGGACCACATCTAACACCCCAATTTTTTTGGTAGTATAATTTTACCTGTAATTATTTTTGTATAATTTTACCAATAATTTTTCTTTTATTTTAGCGCAATCTTACCCATTACTAAACATATGCATGAGCACGTAATTGCACCACTAATTTTTTTTTTTGGCCAAAAAATTGCACCACTAATGACTCATTTAAAATAACTTATACATAGCTTTTCAATTATAATTTACAGAATACGAGATAAATATATGAAAGGAGTTTTGTTTCGGCTTATATAAAACGTACTTATAAGTAATTTCAATCGTAATGGCAAACAGGAGCTAAACAAACTGAGTTGTCAGGTGCATATGAAAAATAAGATTAGAAACAAGGTTTGCCTTATCATATGTTCAAAAGAGAAACATACAAGAACAAAAGAGGCCAATCATTTAAGTGGTTACATGTTTAATTCTCGACCATCTGCACGAAGCAAATTGAATCGGAATCCTCGTATCATACACTCGGTTGAGACTCTTGCAAAATGTCACAAATATTTCCTAGTTACTACTTCCGATTCTAATTATAAGAGCCAGTTGACTAATTTGAGAAGATTAAGAAAGTAAGTTGAGTTAGTTATTTGTCCTAAATAGGTGTTGTCTTTCCTAAAATATCCTTACTAATCAAGTTTATTGATTAGAACTATCATTGTTAGAAGGGTTACTTTGAAAAAAAATATAAATACGATAGACAAAATGGATTGGAGTCTTATATTTAGGACCAAAATAAAAGTCAAACATGGTCTTATATTAAAGACCGGAGGTAGTTTTTTTTTTTTTTAAAAGTACAATGACGTGAATATCCTTATAAAAAGAGAGAGCGAATTAGGGCTTAGTTGGCTTCTTGAACAATTTTTATTTTAAAAGAAACAAAAAAAAAAAGTTGTTTGGTAACATGTTTTTAGTTACTCCCTCCATCCTTTTTTATAAAAAATAGCTGGGTCTAGCGGAAGGGGCTAGTCCCTTATAACGTGACGAACAAATGTTTGAATCCCCACTGATAGGATTGCTTCTAATAGAAGAATATCTATGCTTTAGCAAAAAAAAAAAAATCATCTTTCTCTTGTCCCTAATTATAAACAACATTTGCAAGTCGTCTTAAATTTTTGTAGCAAATTTTCTATTTTACCCCTATTAATTACTTATTTTGATATTTAATATACTACCTTCGGCCCTTAATATAAGACCCTATTTAACTTTTATTTTGGTCCTAAATATAAGACCCCAATCCACTTTGTTTCTCATATTTATTCATTTTTTTTCAAGATAATCCTTCTAATAATAGTATTCCTAACCAATATACTTGATTAGCAAGGATATTTTAGGAAATACAACACATATTTATAACAAATAACTAATTTAACTTATTTTTTTAATCTACTCAAATTAGTTAACTAGTTCTTATATTTCGGACCAGAGATAGTATTTATTATCACATTTTTCAAACCATCATCTCTCTTCATCATACATTCTCTCTCTTTCATAATTTTTTCATTATAATAATTTTCTTATTCTAGTTCTTATACTTCCCCCCGTAAATAAAGATATTTTGGAGAAAGAATTTCTAATTTTTATCTATTTATTATTTTTAACTAACTTTTTAATCTACGTAATAGAGTCATATGTTGCTTATAAAAAGGGACGGAGGGAGTAGTTGTTTTAAAAAATAAAAAAAACAATTATATGTTTTTAAAAACTAAAAAACTAAAACAATTTTTAGATTTTTTTACTTTTGAATTTCTTTTTTTTTGTTGGTAAATTTGGGAAAAAAAATATTTCTCCTCTACTCGCTCGTCACCCTCCACGTGGTGCTGCTAGTAGGCGCCATCTCATTGCCGGCGATTGCCACTACCTATATCATGTGTCATCACCAACCGTCGGCGATAGCCACCTCCCATGTTTCCATTGGCAAGCAATTTGGCTATCAAAAATTCCATCTTTGATTTTCGTCTTGTGATAGGAATTAGTGATGGGATAGAATAGAATGATTTTGTCTTGTTCTTTTTGATCTAATCACATGGTATGCGGATAACATTTGATGAGATTTAACAATAATTAAATTATGACTTGTAGTGTTTCATTTAAAATTTATTTATTTATTTAACTACAATATTTTGTAATTTTGCTTTTTTTTTAATGTGGATAACAAGTTTTACTTATTTTTGTTTCAAATATAATTTTTTCAAATAATTGTCCAAACAATTTTGTAGAATTATTTTGAATACAAGAAAACAGAAAAGCATAAACAAACCGGCTGTTTATTTTTTTTTTTCCAACCTCAAGAGATAATTAGTTTTGAACTAGAAACAGTAGGTATTTTTGTCCTTAACATTATTGTTTTAAAGGAAAGTGAGATTTCCTTAATTATCTTGATGGAATGCTCCTTCAAATGTCTAACGGAAGTGAGCTTTCTAATGGTAACCAAGAGGGATTTTCTTTCCTCCTTTTCTTGAAAGTCTTCTCCATTTTACAAAAACATGGCCTTGGGAAACTCGTTTTCTTCTTGATAAAAATCCATAGAAACGAGCGCCTGAAAACTTTATGATCACGGTGGAATAGTAAGGACAAAATGATAAATAGATTCAAGGCAAGATCAAAGACAGGTCTTCTCATGGAATCATCTTCTCCATACCCTAGCATTACCATAGAATTCCCAAAATGATTCAAAGAATGAGCAATGAAATTATCATCCACTTCTATAGTATGTTTCGACAGATAAATGAAAGTAATAAACCTGAGGGCACATATAAAAGCAAAAAATGCACATAGAAGACAAGAGAGTCTTGAATCGACATCATCAAATAGGACTCTCCGAGGGAAATTAGATGAACTTGGAAAAATACTCAATACAGGTCTTGAAGGCACCCAGGATACTAGAAGAAGCATCCAGCGTAATTTTGCATCTCCGCAAGCAATTAGGTAATTGCCATCAGAGCCCTTCTTGTACAACTAACTTGGGCATGGGTATCTTAGCATTTACTAGCTCATTGGTAAGCCAGCATGCTTCATTTTGGTTTCCGACTGTACAAGCCAAGTAGCTTTCAAGATAAGGTTGAATTGAGCGCAACAAAAAGACCTCAATCTCCATTTATAAATAATCCATTACAGAAACATCAAGAGATGTATAGTTCCATCACCAGGAATGTTGAAAGAGAACTTAAGGATGACAATCGTTTAGTTACACGGCAGAGGCTTGCTTCGCTTGGTTTTTTGAAATGTTCTTTTGGCCAATAAACCTAAACTTGAAGATGTCCTCTCTTAACATGGCTAGTATGGAAGAGTTGATTAAGATGCTTCAGTTAACTCTGGAGCTTTGCTAGTTAGCCATGTTATCCACCAAGTATGGATTTCCAGAAAATAAGGATTTCCAGAAAATAACACGCGGCAGCAATCATCTCTTAGTGCGATCTTTGGAAACTTCTCTAGCTTCGTTAAGAAGTGCAGTATAAGAAGCATAATCTGTAATAAGTCCTTTCTCACCTCTAAATAGCTCAATTTCTTCAGAACTGCCATGCTTGCAATGTCCATCTAGCAAAATGTTAAATGTAATATCATCTGGAACTACCCCCACATTAAGCATTGCGTCCAACAGCATTTTAGCATTTTTCATTTGACCTTGCTTGCAGAGTCCATTCATAAGCACATTATATGTCACAACTCCTGGAACATGTCCATCCCTTTGCATTTCCTTGAGTAGCTTAAATCCCATCTTAGTGTCACCCTTCTTACAAAAACCATCAATCACCATAGTGAATGTGGCATCATCAGGTTTGAAACCAGAATTTATCATCTCCCTCAACATTTTTTCCGCTTCATGAACTCTTCCATCTTTACAGAGTCCAGAGATAAGCACAGAGAAAGCTACGTCATCAAGTTTGATCCCTTCCTCAATCATTCTCTGCTTGATCTCCAAGGCCAGCTCAAGATCTCCATCCTTACAGAATCCATCTATTAGCGTGGTGAAAGTGATCTTGTCAGGCTTCAATTCATTTGCTCTCATCTCATCTAGAAGCTTCCTAGCCTCTTTCAAATCTCCAACCCTGCAAAGGCCATTGATCAGTGCATTGTATGTGACTAAGTCAGGTTTGATGCCCTCAGCTAGCATTAGCTGAAAATTTTTAATGGCTAAATCAACTTTCCCGTCTTTGCACTGCCCATCAATTAAAGTGGTGAAAGTAACATAATTTGGAACCAAGCCTCGCTTGAACATTTCATCAAACAGATTATTTGCCTCATCTAACCTGCACTGTTTACACAGCCCATTGATCAAAGAACTGAAAGTGAAAACATCTGGACAAATTTTTTCATTTTCCATGACACTCTTCAACCTAAACCCCTCACTGAGGTTTCCTGATTTACAATACCCATTGATCAAGGTGTTAAAACTAACAACCGTAGGACGCAAACGTCTCTTCCCCATTTCATCAAATACCAACTGGGCACTTCTGATATTACCTTCCTTACAAAATCTATGCATCAAAATATTGAAGTTATAAGCTCTCGGAGGATACCCAGAATCCAAAATTTCCAAATAGAATGCCCAGGCAGATTCGGCTGATTTCAACTTCATCGTCTTATCAAGCAGATCACCACAAGAACGAAGTGGGACTTGAAGATTATTTGTCCTACCCAACCGAAAACATTGAATGGCATCCGCAACAAATCCAGAATCCATATAAGCATGAATCAAAACATCAAATACAATATTGGATTGGTGGGTACCTCTTGTTTGAAGAACAGACGCAAACAATAAAGAAGCAGAGTCCTTGCCTTTCCAAGACACTATGAATTTCATGAGGGATAGAGCTTCAGGGAGCATCCGGTGAATGCAGAGGAAGTGAGCCATAGTGCAGTAGGATTGAATAGTGTGGCGAAATGGGGGGCGAGAAGCGAGCCAACTGAAGAAAGAGAAGAGGGAAGAAGGGGAAAGAGAGTGAGGGTTGAAGTTAATGAGATTGATGACATGGTGAGCTCTGAGTGAAGGGAGGATCCTTCGAAGAGACGAATCCAGGGCCTGTGTTTCGGAATTGTTGATAGCTTCAGAGATGGTTGAGAGAATGTCATTGTCGTCTTTGCGGAGACAGCGCAGTGGAGTATACCTGGGATTGGACGAAAGGGAGCTGTAAGAGGACGATGACCATAATAGGTTGAAAGATTGAGACAAAAAGTCACAGTTTTTCCAACTTCTCTGAATGAGGATGATCATATCTTCGGTTTCAGCTAGTTGTTCATCACATCATAGCATTTAAATTCCAACATTTTCGGATGTTCCCCAAGCCACAGCTCTCCATTTGTTCATCACGAATCACTTCAGAGTTCAGGCTTTGGCCCAAAGAAAAAATGAAGTCCCGAACCACTTCGGAGTTCAGGGAAGCTATGTAGTAGCTTACAATATTTTTAGAAGTCCAGGGAAGTGGATCGCCTCCATTGCGTCCAACCCAAAAGTCCAAAACCACAGTGCGCCATCTCAACCGTGGAATCAGGTCCCAAAAAAAAAAAAAAAATCTCAACTGTGGAATACTGGAATCCATCTTGGGACGTAAATTGTGATTATTGAGGAAAAATTAAAATTTTAGCGTGAGTGTGAACTCGAGAAAGGTCCGTCTAAGAAGCCAATAACATAAAAGAAGAGGGGAAAACATAATTAATTAATTAATGGACCTTTTGGTAATTCGCCTATGTACATTTAAAAACAAGCTCATACCTGTAGTGAAAGTAAAAAGCCCTTCGAGAAGTCAATAGTCTTTCTCATTTATTGGTTGTTTCCGTTTTTTGAGTTACTGTTATTATTTATTACTCTCCCATTTGTGCGTAAAAGTCGATCGTTGGTTAATTCGCATAGTATTACTGCTTAAGTATTTAAATTCTCTCTCTTATATTTTATGTCAGTTTTGTTTGGAAAGTGCTTTCTTTATCATTTTTATCATATGTTTATTTCTTTGTCTCTCTTTTTATCTAAATTCACTACCCCTGTTGAAATTCATTCATTTGGTTGAATTTTGGGTGTTGGTCTAAGCTGAATTTGGCAAGAATATTATTCTTGTAAAGAGTAACACTATTGGGCTAATTAAATTTCCCATTTTAAGTTTAGGATTTTGAGTTTTGTTGAGGACACGAACTTAATTTGCATTATTTACAGTAAGTGGTGATGACATGGGGAGATTCATTCGTCTCATTTGTAGGAAGTGGCAATAATGTTGTATTGCATTATTTAATTGCTCTTTACTTACCAAGCTTCTTATATGACTAAAGCCACAACTGGAATTGTATGAATTTTAAATTGTGTTGGTGTGGCAGTAAGTGGAACATGCCTTGCACTTTTTTGTAATTATAGTTTTGTTCTACATACCAATTAATGCATTTCGTTTTTGTTTAACAAATTGATCTCATTCTCTTGTATCTATTAGCTAGGCTACTTCTTTCCAATATATTAAGATTAAGAGCCCTTTTGTAGGCTATTGACTTGTATTTGATTGTCTTGGATGAATGAATTTAATAGTGACGGAACATATTAGAGTGCCTTTCCTGAGTTAAAATAATGTGCTGTAAGCTTTTTATTACCTAATCCATCTTGTCAAAAACCTTATAAAAAATTAAAGTTAATATAGCCTTAACCTATAAGCCATCAATTGATTGTTTCTGTTTTCTTGAGTTAGTAGTTCTATCTATCCACTTATGATGTTCTTGATTAACTTATCATCTTAAATGCTTGTTTATTAGTTTATTACTCACTACTACTATTTAAATACTTAACAGTTATAAACCGTCAAATACGAGGATGTCAAATACTTGACGGTTAGTAACCGTCAAATATTTGAAAAAATATTTTACGGTTTTAACATAAAACTGTCAAATATTATGAGTATATTTGTAGTCTTTGTGTATTATTTATTTGATGGTTAATGGTCATAACTATAAAGTATTGTAAATACTTGATGGTTATTAATTATAACCGTCAAATATTTCCAAAATACTTGATGGTTATGACTAATAACCATTAAGTATTATAGTTTTTTTTTTGGGAGAATTAGAACCAAGGACCAAGAAAAAGCAATATTTATTTTAGAGGATCTTAAAAATCATAATTATTTTAAAAGACCAAAAATTAAAATACAATTTTAAAAATACTAAATCACTCATAATTATTCTTCTTTTCCAATCAACTGTCACTTCTCACTCTATATAAAATTGAAAAATCATCAAATGTTAGATTTCAGACGGTGAATAACAAATGGTTTTGAATGTTATCGTTTGCGACAAGAAAACTTGAAGATTTTGAAATAATAATGTTATTAATAATTGCAAATTCTGAGTATGAATAAGAAAAAAGTTGTGTATATATATAGCTTAGGGAAGTTCTAACTTTTTGAAAAACTTGTGGGAAAAATGTAATTACATTTATTTTAAAATAAATACCTAACAATATAAAATAGTAGGGAAGGAAAGCAGCAACTACTACTACATCAAGGGTGGAAAAATCACGGAGAGAGATGGAGGTGGGATAGAGATAATTTGGCATTTTAGGATCAATATTTTAAATTTTGGTCCTTTTAAGTAATTCTAATTTTTATGGTCTTTTTTAATAAATATTTCTTTCTACAGGTCCTTTATTCTAATTCTCCCTTTTTCTTTTTAATGAGGTGGCTGTTTTTCTACCAACCTCCTTGCATTCTGAAAAGAAAAGGCAATAACAGAGTCAAAAACACACATGTATTTATATATATATATATATATATATCAATTTAGACAGTAAATTAGAAATAAAATTTACATTATATTTTAAGAATATATTGATTTTAGCTTAAATTTGTGTCTAACAGTGGGTTGTGGGCTTGTGCGGCTGCAATGAATTTCTTCAGGTTTTTTATAGCTCATCATCTTTACAGTATTATCTACGTGACATATTTTCTACTTGACAATATTATCACTTCGTTAATTACTTTTTATCATGGATCCGTGACCTATAAAAAGGACTTGAGGGTAAAGTTCAGAATATACCCGCTTTAAACTTTCGAGCTATTCTCTCCATCACCCCGTTTTGTTGTCGGAAATGGTTTATTTAATTTTAAGAAGTGCTGCATTTTTTTATTCTAACATTGTGTGATGAAATAACTCTTAAGGATAATATCTTTTAACATACTTGAATCATACTTTGGTTTTTTTTTTTTTTTCTGCTGGTGTTGCCAACAGCCACTCGAATAACTAAGCTAAGAGACATACAATATCTGCATCATCTAATACTATGCATTCACATTATGAGCATGATGAGTTAACCAGTTAACGCAAAAATTAGCTCTCCCGTGAAGATGATCAAAAGTGATGATTGTCTAGTATCTCATAATAGGGTTGCTTATTTTAGTTAAAAGTATTAGTTGACGATAAGGTGGTTGGCCAACGGATGCTTCTTAATTAAAATTAGCATGATATTGATATCCACATTAAGCATTCTTTGCATTGAAAATCAAAGTGTTGATTAGCGGAAACTTTTTAAAGCTACCTCTTCTTGTATATGAAAATCCAATTCAATTTAGGTGAAGTGTATCAGTAGCATCCTTGTCAAATGCCACACACACATATATGCAGTTAACAGGTGTAAATTTCACCCGGATCAATCACACTCAATTTCAGATGATATATATCGAGTTCAACAATCTCAAATGGACAGAAAAGAAATTATTGAATGTAACAGTCTAACTGAAACCCAACAACCTGAATTGATGATGACGATAATGTGTTTGTGGGTTTACTTCGCGCACGTCACAGCATTGAATTGGAGGGACAAAGCATCTGACACATACACGGACACTACAATGAATTCGATCATACGTACATTTAATTCATGAAATGCCTCAAATCCAATACTTTTGCAGGCCCGATGGTCTCTCTACGTGATTGCAAAAGTTTCATTCTTTTGCATGAGCGGCTCCAGAAGGGCCCAAGACGTCAACTTGTCACCCATCAAATTAAGCACATTATTTTATATGTAGTTTTAATTTAAATTAATTATCTGATTGCACCAAAAATCACTATTTTAATAATTTTTAATATGAACCAAACATATATATGGAACATTTTATCATATCAATTTGTTTTGAGGAACAAACGACATTGAAAGATCTCGAAAGGAATAGGAACTCACTCTAGACCAGAAATCTGCAAATGCACAATGGAGAACTTGGGTTCTTGGTGTGGTTTGAGTTCGAGTTAAAGAATTGTCGAATATCAATTATAAATTGCCGAATATCATTTTAAATAAAAACAAAAACCTAGTTTATAGTTTCTGATGAGATTGAGTTGTAAGTAATTCCCAAATATTAGTTGCAAATTGGCAAAAAATAATAAAAAATTGTTGAAAATGAATTATAAGTAGGGACCCAGCTTTCACATTATATATGGTACTGGATTTTTGGAGGTGATGGAAAGGTGAGTTTGTTTTAAAATTTTTTAAACTCTTATCTCCTGGTTTGGTTAAACAAGTGTTTAGCTCAAAAAGTAGAGACTTTTTTGGAGGGAGAGATTCTAAATTGAAACATTTTTAAATAATAATACCATTCTTATAATGATATTAAATTTTTAAGTTGGTATAAAAATCCCTCCCATCCAATCACCTCCGATAACAAAATTACTAATGCCAAACACTATATCAAACCCATCACATGAAGGCCAAAAACGAACGAACAAACAAACAAAGACAGAAGAAAATGCATCATGACAGAACTGAAAACACTAGCCAAACTCTCCACCCTTACTTCTTCTTTGGTGTTAGACCTTTCTTCATGGACCAGTGGTCTCGTCGTAAGCCACATTACGCGGTCCTGGAGTAACAAAACATAACATGCGACAACTAAAAAATGGATTTTTCAGAATTATTATTGGAAAGCACAATATCGTTAAGCATTCATATTCACCGCTTCACTCATATTCTATATCCCTTTTGTATCATGTCTTATTCAAATTTTTCTGGGTCAATGGTTTCCCAACAATCAACTTCCATTACTACTACTGCTACAGTCATACTAAAAATCTTCAAAACCAGTCCACCACAAAGATCAAAATGATACTCTCTAAAACGACACGTATAATCCTCCGGCAAGAAGAGGGAATGATGCTGTTTATTTTACTTCAATTCCCATGGAGAGTGGAGATACAGATAAATACAAATATATATATATATATATTTCCGACTAAGCAAAAGGCAGTTTTCCAAGGAATTTTTCGGGAAGAGTGGGGATTTCTTTAGAAACCGAAAAAAGAGAGGGAATTGAAATGAAATTTTTATTGACGTGTAACATAATCTAGAAATATTCTCAGATTAGAAGTTCAAATGTTGGTGTACCGTAGACAACAAGTTTTTTCACACAACACGGCGGTGACCATTATTAGCCTTTGGAATTGAACGCTTAGTTGCAGGAACACAATTTGCTGATAGCCGAAACTGATTCTCCTTACGGTCTCTTGTTGCATCCACCACGTCTTCTTTCCTTGTGCTGCATATCACCCTAACTCTTCGCCTTTCCCATATCCCATTTCCCACCCTCTTCTTCTTCTTCTTCTTCTTCTTATTCTTCATCCTTTGACCGCCATTATCATCCAAGCATGCATTTGCAGAACCAAAACCATTCTCAAGTTTGCCATCACTAGATTCTGCGACGAGACGATCCAGTCTCGTTAAAATACTACGTACTTCATACGCATCAAGAAGGGGTAACTTCTTGCTGTGCTGAACTTGGCACGATCCTTGTTCCTCCTTGGTTTCCGGGGAACAAGATGAAGCCATTCTCAGTGCTTCTAACTTGTAACGAGAAGGCTTGTAATCATGTTGAGCTCTCGTAATATGAAACTCTCTTATAGTCTTTCCTTCAGAGCCTGAACCATGTTGGTGCCATGCCCATGCAGCCGCCTTCTCAAGGGCCAAAACATCAGTCCTTTGGTGATCCTTAGGCTTGATTCTATTTCTCAGGAGCTTGGAAGCCATGAAAGTAGGGGAGTTGGTAACGGTGAGAAGAAGAGGAGTTTGTGGGAAAGCCAAGCTCCACGCAATTGCAATATAGAACTAAGAAAAGTAGAAGTTTGGCCCAACAGTTATATTTCATTTGTGAAGGGGGAGGCGTGTGTGACTTTCTTGGCTGGCTTCAACTTAGTTCCCGTGCTGTTGTCAGAATTTAATAGGGTCGTTCAATTTGAAAATGGAGGTTCATGGACCACATGCGGATTCAGGATGCGTGGGACTTTATGGTCCTATAGTATCTGGCTTGTTCTGGTCAATGTACTCTTGTAACTTGTCTGCATAACATGAGATTTATTCTTCAAAAACGAGTCACTCTCATGTGGGAAGCTGGGATTGGCGTCACTTTGGTTTAAAAGGCTTCTCGAGATTTCGCATCTGCATGCAATTTTCAAAGGATTTAAATGAGACCTTTGAAATAGATCCAATAGTAAATATAAAAACTCAAATCGCTCCAAAATTAAAATATCATATTTTCGTTTACCCAAGAGGGGAAAGAAATCATTTTCTCCTGTGATTACTCGGTATATTATTTTTTTTAAAAAAAATCTTGCGGTTTTGTAAAATACTTAAACCTAAACAGAAATTCGTTAGATATTCGCCATAAAATTCTTCAAAGAAATAGCTACATAAAAGACATCTCATGGCAGGATGTAAGAATGATCAACATTATTTTAAAAAAATTAACAACATAAATAATTACACTATAACTTGTCCTTGTTGCATTTCCTCGTTATGCCTGTCAAAGTTGAAATAGCATATTCTGATACGCCTGCTATATTCTTATAGCCTTTATTTTATTTTATGATTTTTAATATACTCTTGGCCATTAATTTTTGGCAGTTAGTATATTCGCATTTGAAGGCTTCAAGAGTCATGGACATTTCAGTATTTCAAACACAAGTTCCTCCTTCGATGGATTTTCTTTGGCAAGTTTAAAAATGCCTGGTGCCTGCTCTTTTGTATTACTAAACGAAGAGCGTTACCTCTAATTTGTAGCCGGTTTCCTTCAGAAACTCTTGCACTCTTGGAAATTTTACTATCTACTCTCTCCTCTTGAAGCATCTGGTTAGATAGGCATTGATGTCTCTATAATTCAGACCATAAAAATACCAGTAACTTAAGACCACAAATCAACTCTGCAAAAGGAAGAAAAGTGTATCCAAGTGTTTTTACAAGGATTTTTTTTTTTAAGCAAAATACAAGGAATATTTTATTGGGGCTCGATTACTAAAAAATTTTAACATTGGATTTTGAGGGACAAACACTTTGTCCCGAACAAAATAAACAGGTATAGAATAATTCAAGTACACAACAAATGTAACAGTTTATGGTTCCCAAATTTAGATGACTATCGGGGAAGCCAAAACATGGTAATTTTCATTTAATTCACCGTGGAGCGCAACCCCTTCTATGCGGATTCGGGCATACGCCTCTTTCCGACAAAGAGAGCGGCAATAAAGATATCTATTCAGCTTGGCCACTTTTTTGTGCCAAGCAAAAAATTTTGCATTCGAGATGCTTAATTCAGCTCCTGGAATCTCCTTAATTGGTTGGCTCCTCAGCAAATTTACAATCAAGCAAGTCTTGAGCGCGCTTTAAACATGAAAGATACTCTTTCTTTATTTCAGGGGAATCAGCAACTGACTTCTCAGATACATACTGTAAAGAAGATCATAGTTGTCATAAATGTTCAAAACCTCATGTGAGGGATGAAAGGACATGCATATAAATCTTTCACATTTACTAGCAAATTTGGGATGCAACACTTGGTAGCGTATAACAAGAGCAATCGATAATTATCACCAAACTATGTTTACAGATAAAGGGTTCAATTTTTTCATGTGATCGGGTTCAATTTTACCTCCCTATAAGCGGAAACACATTGAACAAGTGCCTTCCGAGCTTCACGATTTGCATGCTCTTCCTGTTTTGCAAAATGAACAGAAATCACATAGACAAATAGAATAACATAGTATAGAGTACACGATTACAAGTGTTACAAGACTTGTAAAATGAAATGTCAAAAGCATCCTTTCATGTTTTAAATTAGGATACTCCTTTCAGTCCTAAATATAAGAATTAGTTAAGGGAGTTACTTTAGTCCTAAATGTATGTCAATCGATTTTATCTTCCAAATTTATAATTTTCTTTTTAAACTATCCCTATTATTGCACTTATTAAAAGGAGATTTCTATTAGTAGGGTAGTTTCTAATACAAATGATTAAAGGGATATTCTCAGGAAACCAATACATAATTTTTCACAGATAACTAATTTAATTAAATTATTTCTGTAAATTAGTTATCTAACTCTTATATTTAATTACATTTAAAACTGAGGAGAGTAATAGATCATCCATTGATCCGAAGACCCATAAAGTTACAGGACTCTTTATATCGAGTTAAAAAGGTCTACTGATAGCAATCACCAGCATATAATTTTATTGCAACAGCTATTCCAGAGGGATGAATGCTCTAGATTTCCCAAAAATCGAAAGCTAGCAAAGATCTAAAATCTTGAGTTCATATTCTATTCATGCACATCAATCTATACCTTGCACTCCTGTTAAACATGAACCAAACTGCGTTTACAGATGACTTAAAGCAAAGGAAGAAGAACAAACCAACAACTCCAATGGAGACTGCAGCAATTTTAACTGCAGCATCCAATGTTTTTCCTCGTGCGGTCATAGAAGAATTTGAATCATGTGGTCAATAGTTACATATAATTACACAATCTATTAATTCTGAAGCAAAATAATCAGATACCATCAAATATTGTATTCTAACCTGAGTTTCCAGCAATCCTTGCTTAGCTAACTCCAATGATGCCAAAGTACTGAGCGATTGCAACTGCAAAAATCACAATTCAAATCTATATTTCAAAAAATCTTTGAAGGTTGAAGAAATTCCAGATGAAGAATAATCCACCACCTCAGTACATATATTAAAAGAAAACCAAAGAAACTAGAGGAAAGCATGACTGCACCAACAAAATCACCCTGCTACCTTCTGCGGATATTCATTCATGGCACCTGCCCCACGCAAATTTAGGCTACGTTTTTCGCTACAATTGGTATGAGCTAGAATAACCAAGTCAAGAACTTGAAAAAAAAAATATCATGCTAAATCATACCACTTTTCACAAAGGTCTTTATACCACCAAATAGTGTTCCCCTCCATTACATCAACAAAAGAAATCACATGTAAAGGCAACATTACTCTGATATGATATGCAGGTACTAGCTAACTAAATTTGTAACTAATGTAAGAAATATATGAGCATACTTCTATGATCATAGGAACAAAAGTGAATGTAGCAGCGTCACCTTCAAATAAGAACACTTTTCAGGGCAGAAGCCTTCATGCCGGTGCCAGATATTTAACTTCTGGGCAAAAATGCATAAAGATGAGGAATCATGAAAATTAAAAAAAACTGACCAGTATGATTAATGCCACTTGTCTTTCCTTTGTAGAACGTCGTAGAACACCGTAATCTTTTGTGTTGACCTTCTGTTTCAATAATTTATTTAACACTTGACGAGCAATCCTGAGATTGAATATATAACAGCCTATCAATAATGTGCACAAATGCACGCAAAAGAAAGATAACCTATTCACTAAAGATTATTATGAGACAGCACTTAAGAGAGTCCTGCTAAAAGTTAGCACAATAAAACCAAAACCAAACTGAATACGAAAGACCTACAATTATTTGGATAATTGGTTTTCAACCAAAAAGAAAAATTATAGAGCAGGAACAGATGCCAAACTACTTCATGGAAGACCTATAAAGATCTTAGCCTAGTTTTTCTTTCTATATGCCCTGAAAATGATCAATGTAATAAGTTCTTGGAGGAAAAACCTCACAATGTTCATATCATACACACCAAGTGAAGGAACCACACAAACAATGGATGACCTGATTTCACAACTAAAAATGCGAAAGTTAAGAAAAGAAAGACTAATCAGGAGCTCATGAATATCTAACATATTTTCTTGAGAAAACCAACCCAACAATAAACCTAAACCATAGACAAAAGATTGGCTTTCAAACTAGGATCCTCATGTGGCAGATCAAAGAAGCTTGTTAACAGAATTCTGTTTATTCTTCATTTTGCATGATGGAAACCTGTATACTTTCTGGATGCCTAAAAAGTCTGTCCAGCCAAGACATATTATTATTATTGTCTTCTTATATCTCTAGTCTCTGAATGCTCCCTCTCATTTCTAATTATGTAACATTTCTAAGGGAATGAAAGAAAAAAAATCTGTCTTGTATGCAAACTAAGTCTGGTCAGGTGAGAATGTTTTGGCTCTTCTGAAGTGTTCCAACCAAATCTACATGATGTATAGACAAGACTGAATGTTGTGGGCATGAAATCAAAATTCACCAGCCCAGGAAGCTTTGACAAAAGTAAATATAAAAAAAGGCATCAACAAGAAAGCAACATGATGGCAAATCTGGAAGGAAAGGCTAATTGGCATTGGGAAAACCTGTGACAATTTATTTTAGATATCAAAATTTAGTCATGCAAAAGCTACATGTGACCAGCAAAAATAAACCTTATGGAATTATTCAAATGCTCCTTTGCCCTATCAAGCTCAGCTTCTCCAGAAGCATCCCACTTGTGCAGTTGGCTGCTGTTGAGCACCACTCCTCTTGCTAGATGAAGCAGGTTAGCACCAATCTGAACGTGGAAAAAAAAAAAAAGGTAAGGCCTGTGCATTTTGGTAAATGTAAACAACAAAGATTACAAAATAACAAGCATAAACTAACTGTTCATTACAAGAGTAGAATATTAAAAAATATACATTATATATATATATATATATTAAAGTTAACTACCGGCTTTGCAAAAAATTGAGTAGAGAACTCAACTCTCGGATAAAAAAAACCAACAAAATCCAATATCATCCAAGTATTTGAAAATACAGGGCACCAGAACATCCACATAACCTATTATGTGAAATTTTTTTCAATGCCTTACAGTAGATTGCTGTTTCATAAAATAACTGCACATCATAATTAAGCTCCCACAGTCAACTAAGCTTTAATCTTGGAGGCATATTAGAGAAGTCAAATCCAAGTTATCACAGAAAAAGAACTCCTTCCACTACCTTGTGGACTTAAAATATGAGGGGGGCAAGTTGGAAATATAACCATTCCTAGGAAAATAAACTGATTGATACCATTCAAATTTAGGTTGATCAGTTCGTTAAAATCACATTTCATGATATCTAAATGAGTATGTGGACAACAACCAAACCTGAATATGGTCGTGAGGAAGTATGACTTTCCGGGCATCAAGACATCTATAAGGAAAGCAAAAGGATATCAACTGATAAAGTCAAAGCCAAATTTCTTTCTGAGGCTACAATATAACAAATCACCTTTGAAGAAGCTCTTGCGAGGCTTTTAAATTATTAGATGCTTGCAGAGTCAGAGCTAAACCCTCAGCCACAGCAATAGTGTCCAGGGAATTCCACCCCTGCCTTCCACAAATCACGTCACACTTTTTATAGGACAAAAAACCTAACCAAGCAAAATGATAACAGCTAATTGTAGAAGATAGCAAGTGGCAAAGGAAAATAAGATCAGAGTTGATCAGCCAAGGGTCAACATATAGCACCCGTCTGTTGCTTTGCCTGTCATAATACCCTTAATGACCATCAATACATAATAGTCCGAAGATCCTTCAATTTAGATTATTTCCTAAGAAATTCAACTCTTAAAAATGTTTGTCAAGTATAATCAACTTTCGATAAACATAGAACTTTGATTTGATAAAACGTTTAAAATGTTAAAAGTAAATGAGCACGTCAGTCAGAGCAACACGTAAATTAAACAGAGAAATGGATTCCAATAAATAACCTTTGATAGTTCCATGTTATGTAGAATCTTTCTTTGAATCATCTCAGCTTCAGCATATCGATGTGATTTCATGTATATCTACAAGTAGCAAAAACTTAATGAGAATCCAAAAATTAGACCTAGAAAAAATTATAACCTGAAAAACCGGAACCGAACTGTGAGAACTGCTAGAAGCCAGCCATGGGTTTGTATAATGCTGTGGATTCAAGTGAGCGCTCTCCTAGGAAAGGGTTGCATGGGACTTAATCAGTGGGATGTGCAACTTGCCTTGTTGGCTTAGGAGAGAATGAAATGTATCAGTTTCATGAAGAACAGGTTGGGCCGTATTAATACTAGACCAGCAATGACTGCATTTGTTGATAATGTGCTTTTGTTGGATCTACCTTCTGTGTGATATCAGATCAGTGGGTCCATTGACATAAGTATGCGTTAGATTTGATAGGTTTCTAATTTCTGCTACTCAGAAGGAGCACCTTCTTACAGCATGAAAAGTATACCTTCAAATTTCTTGGATTCTATAACTTTTAGGTCATAGTTGCTTCCTTGAAACCTTTTAATGATTACTAGTCCATCCCCACCCTCCTACACCTCATATGCATCCCCATCACCCAACTAAAAAAAAGGAAAAGAAAAGAAAAGAAAACGGCTTCTCTTGCTTGGCCCCATTAAATTTTAGAAAATCCAAATACTCAAATTATCTTCTTTGTTATCCATGGATAATAAGAATCAACCATGACCAACAAAGTCTATCGTCAAAAGAATAAAAAACAACCTGGGAGAGATATCGAAGTCTTCTAATGCATATAGAGGACTCCCCTTCACCACCTTCCTACATGGATAAACAATTTGTCCTATGAAGATAACAATCCATAATCACAAAAGCACCTGTTTGGCCTTTAAGGTATAGAAAAGATGCACCTCTAGCATTCTTATAGAGTCCTGAATAAAGGCCTCAGCATCCCCTTCTTTTCCTTGAAGATACAGCACCTGAACACTCAATTTTGTAGCAAATTAAAATCCAATCAAGCTCAAACTCCAGAATGCATTAAACAAATAAAGCCACCTAAACAAGCTATTCAATTCAGACCAAACTATCGAGACACCCAAATGAAGATGAATACCAGATCCACCAATGAAATACATAGAACCTAACTCCTAGAAACTCATCCCTCATAGCCACTAAATCATATATTTCAAGTTTCAAAGGTATTCTTTTCTCTATTAAAGAAGAGTATCTAGAGGACAGAGGAAAACAAAACAAGAGAATAATAAAAGGAGAAAGAAATCTAAGAAGCTCTGAAATATGGGAATCCTAAAATGACCTCTCGAAACGCCTTAATTCCTATGAAGACCTTAGGGATGATATGATCTCACATTCAATAATATTTTTTATGAAGTACGCCTAATTTTGTATTATCATGTATGATATAAAAATCTCAAATCCGTGCATATTTTTGTAATAAGCTATACAGAATTAACTTGTCCAACCTTCACATTGATATTTGTGATAAATAATTTCAGATAATTTTCTATCTCCAACATGTAAATCTAGATTCCTTGTCAATAGAATATCTATCATAGTCTTACATACAATAAAACCAATGTGAAGAAAGAATAGTAGAGTAAAAGGACGAATTATTACCACGCCTAGATGATACATTGTATCAGAACAGTCTGGATGGTTATATCCCAAAACCCGCCTTTTTATCTGGGTATTTCTCAATAAAAAACTCTAGTTCAGATATGAGTTATGAAATGATTACAATAAATAACTAAGGTGAAGATGAAAAATGTTTCCTGATTGTGAATGAGTATAGTAGTTCCACACCTTCAAAGCCATCTGCCAAAATCAAAAGCCAAAGGAAGGAGAATTGCGTCAAAAAAAAATGGAGGAAAAAAATGTGATCACTACGACTGAAGGAAAAATAGATTGACTGACAATAAATAGATGAGCTGTCAACAGATATCGATCATGACAACCATACTCTGAGAATGGGTAATGGATCTCATAACATGGTCGTGAGGAAATTGAGTGAGGAACATTGCCTCATAAAATCCTTTACCCATATATTCTCCTACCCAAAAGTTTTTACAGAAACCAATGTCCAAATAGCTCTTCTTCTTTTTTCCCCCCCTAAATCTTCCAGAAACCCAAATGACAAAGATGCTACTGCATAGGAATAGACTCAGAAGTCCTCAGCACAATTACCACTAACTATTGCCTATATCGTATCTATGTACACACACACATACAAAAAAAATCCCAATTTATGATGAGCTGAGCAAAATGCTAAGATTTTCATGGTTGTTATGGGATAAAATTGTCTTCAGGATCTCATTTTCTGGTGCTTGATTCATGGACCATTCTAAGGAATCTCCTTAACAAGAATGAAACAAAAGAAGGGTTGATTTTTCATAGGATATTGATCATCATCATCATCATCATTTGTTACCAAGATAGTTAAGCTCTAGAGACTAAACAATTTACCGCGTAGTAAACACGAGCTTCTTCCAATTTCCGCTGTCCAAGGAAGAACTGACCAAGGTTATGAGCGGCAGCTCCCACTCTGCAAAAATCACAGTTTTAATCCTCAAATAAAGAAATGAAGACCTTCCTAAGCTTCAGAGTCTTTAACTTAAGACGGATTTTTTGACTTCCAAAAAGGCATTGATTGGGAATCAATTTTGGTGCTTTGTTGAGGAGGCGATGCTGGGAAGGGAAGCATTCTAAATACAAGAACAAAATTCAAGAAGTGATCAAGATGCACGAATGTGGAAAAATAAATATAGCACATACATATGCTATGATTTTTTGCGAAGTATCATCTAAAAATTTATAGTATACACTCTAGGTGTATTTTGTTAGCGAACATTGCACATATTTTCAAGGGTCACTCTCCACCTTACTTTTGTTAAGAAAATCACTTTGGTTCCCTGTAATTGCAAATGGTTGTTTCGTTTCAAGGGGGACCCTTGATCTATATTAATGAGGTCATGAAAGTGAGGAAATGCCAAGAAAATCTAGAATCCTCTAGCGTAAATAACTAACAAAGAGAACTGTTATGCAGAGAAGAGAATTAGAAAAGGAAAGCCACATAATTATTAGGTCATCTATGAATTCTGTGTGATGGTTTTTCCATTGTGTGGTGGCATAAGGCTTTTAACTTCATGGAGATGGGGAACAATCGCACCCAGCCGTAAATAATTTATTACTCCTAAATATTTAAAAAAAAAAATTATGATGGTTTTACAGAAAATGCACTTCACCGTATATCTTCAGGTCCAAATGATTCCTCCAATATGCTGATAGCTTCTAAATACAGTGGCTCTGCTTTGTCAAAAGCCTTCTTGACTCTGTACAACTCAGCCTAAAATGAGAATCATAGTAACAATTGAGTTGTCTTACTACAGAGTCTTCTCTCTTTAGGCAAATGAAGTAATCATTATGAGGCAATACCAAATAGAAGTAATTAGAGCAGGCATAATCAACCAATATGACTCCTTCAAAATAATACAGAAAGTAATGAGTTTTGCTAGAAGTTGAAAATTTCCATACACTTATATCAATCACATCATCTAATGTCTTTAAAAATTGAATGCTTTAAGTCGTGCAACTGTTAATATCACAACCTTTCTTGGCATTTTAATTATTCTGCCTATACGAAGTATGATCATGCACCAAGATTTCTTGCAGAAATGCAAGCACAGATATAATTCACCAAATCTCAGGCCCCAAAAAAATATATCATATGTACGGGAATATATGATAAAACATTATCACCTATAAAGGATAAGAAACTCTTCAAAGGCATCACAAATTTTTTTTTTTTTGGGGGGGGGGGGGAGAACAAGATTAACAGTGGAAAAAAATGAAGACAGAAACTCAATGAGGTTCAGTAAAGAAAACTCTCCAGGCAGATTCCTCAATGATTTACGAAACAGTTCTCACAACTTCAATTAAAAAGAAGACGTTTGTCAAATATTAAAAAAATAATAATAATAAGACAGCAACCAAATGACAATTTTTAAGAAAAAATTCTCTAGGAGGATTCCTAAATGATTTACTGCAAAGTTCTCACAAATAATTAGGAAGAAGATAATTATCAAGTGTAAGCCATCTTGATGATAAGCTGACCAGATTGTTGCATGCAGATGCAACATGTGGGTCTCTCTGGCCAAAACCTTCTCTAGCTTCTTGCACCGCAGAAAGGAAGAGCTTTTCAGCTTCATCTATTTTTCCCTGGCAGATAGTTGACAGAAAATAAACTTTGGAACGCAAAAGATACAACTGACGAAAAATGAAACATAGCAAAAAGAAAACCTGCTTGCCTCAAGAAAAAATTCTCTCCCTTTATCGGTAAAGACCCTCCATTTGATGTGTGTATATTTGATACTACAGAGCCATCCTCAATTTTTTGCAATCCAGTTATGTCATCCTTTTCAGCGTCACTATCAAGAACTGCTTCTTTTGATGCATCTTTTGCAAACACAGGGTTGGCATTGATGCCAATAATTAATGCTGCATAAAGATCAGAGTAATCAATCCCACCTCTTTGAACCATCTGACAGTGCCTCGGCCAGTTTGATTTACACAACATAGATCCAGATGGAATGTCAGCCATCGTGATAGTGCATATGAACTAAAAGCTAATACAATTATAGAAGCAAGTATGATAGGTAGATCACATGAGGGACAGAGACAGTGGGAAACAAGTTTTATATTCAATTCTATCTGGGAATTGACTTGGGAAAAATAGCCCGCAGTAAACAAGCTAATTTTCAATCTAGATATTATTCTACATTCTGAGCAACAAATTTCCTCCCCATTTAAAAGGAATAGAAGACTACCACGTGTTATTGTGAATAACCTAGTGCATTGCTATAGGGTTGTGATTATTTTTCTGAATCTTCTCTAGATAGAATAAAGAATTTCTTGGGAAGTATGGATGTTACAAGGTAAAAATATTAAATGCCTCATGATCAACATGACAAAAATGGCATTCATAGAAGTTGATTAAACTTTATAACTGCATGTACAGTTTCCCTGAGTTCCTAAACATAGCTTTTTCTTAATTGCCATAAATTAGTTTAGATATCAGGTTGCAAGCCTTGCCTCCAATAATATTTGCAATCGTTGTGATGTTATGAATTTAAGCATGGAAGGAACATTAAAAGGATGAAGAAGTAACATAATGCAGATTTTAGAATAAAAAACAGCAAAATTACAAGTTGAAAAGAACAAAACAGATTTATGTGTTAATGTCAAAAGCATACCAAGATGTCCATATATCACCGTCCATAGACAAGGACCCCTAGAACATGTCCTCCAACCATGCGCACCGGGTCGATGCCAATGACAAGTAAAATTTTCACCTGATACAACACCAAATGACGAAAAAAACAATAAGTCGTCATCATCGTCACTGTGCGGGACAACTAGAACAAGGCATTATTATCCCTTTTGAACAACCAATACCTGATCTAGCTCTACAGGATACAGCAAATTCAAAACGTTTAAGATTTGATAAACGGTAAATCATCGGTAAGTTATTACAGGACACATGTTCGACATTTTGCAAGGAACTCTCCTAGTTGTCCTATGGGATGCCATCTAAGATAGACGAACTGATTGAGAAATTTATTCGAGCCTATATCCAGGTTCCAAAGTACAAGTTTTAATGCGTATTTTCTCTCACACAGACTAATAAAATCAACTGAACTACGATCCCTGAAGCACTGTGCCATTCTAAAATTAAGAAGTACGGTGACAAAACCTGCAATTTCGAGGCAATCTCAAATTGACATCCTTCTTCCAATTTCGCACTAAACTGTTTATTACTTCGTCACCAAAACCCGACGATTGTAATAAAAATATTGAAACAATATTAAAAAAATTGAGATTATCACTACAATTCGGCACCATATCTGAATTCATAAACTTTCGCATTGATTAGAAGAACTCTGGTGATTTTATGAGGTATTGGGTTTTTCGCAGTATCGTCAAACAGTAACAACGACGTGAAGAATAAAAGAATTAGTCGGGTGATTGGTAACGAACCAGGAAGTGAGATGGGCAACGCATTAGAGGTTACTACAGAAGTAGAAGAAGCACTGCGAGAAGGAAAGCGAATCTTTTTGAGTAAATTAGCTGCTACCACCCGCAGAGACATTCTTCCAGCAAGAAAGATGAGGGATAGATACAGAAATACAGAGATTTAATGGATTTACTTATTTCATGTCACTGTGATTAAACTTGAATAGAGTTGTTCTATAAGCGCAAGCACTCAGGGTTTAGGGTTTTGAACAAGGCAAGCCACAGTAGTGAAGTCAGCTGCAGTTCTAGGAGAAGGTGAGGAATGGCAAGGTGGCGTTAATGGAGATGCTTCCCATGATCCCATCTCAACCGTAATTTCCACTTCAATAGTTAAAATTTAATGTAGTAATTAGAAAAATTTCCCGTCAAAGAAGGGCTTGAGAAAAATCCCCGGGAGCTAGGAATCACTGAAGCCGCATAAAGTAAGAGATTGTAAGCCGTTGGATTATATTAACGGAAAGGATCATGCCATGTCAGCAGAAGTGACTTCATCGTTCGCACGTTAAAGGAGCCGCAATCACGGAGCGGGCATGCTTGATGATGAAATAAAAAAACTGTTCGGATAAGACTTTTATTTATTCCAAAATTTATTTCTATTTAAGGTAATCCAAGTCAAAATAAAAAAATTATAAATAAGGATTTGTTATGTGTTTTGATAACGATAATATGGATTTTGATAACAATTTTATAAATAGGTCATTGTGTGTAATTTTTTAATTTTAACCTTTTTTTTTTGTGATTTTTCCTTTTTGTTATTATCACTGCTCTATCATCCACCATTTATTCACATCCTAATATCCTATTTTAAATTGAGGTTTACAAATATTTTCTTTTCTTTTAAATAGATTTTTCTTTCGCACTTCCGAAAACTTGTTCTAAAAAAAATTAGATTAACATTATCTTTAATTTTTAAAATTTATTGTATCAAAGTTTTTAAAATTTAAATTTATTTTAGTTTTAATCTCTAAAATTTGAAATTAGTGGCTTTGATTTCTGAAACTTAATTTCATTTTGATTTATCTAGATATTTATATCTGGCGGCGGTGATGGGCCTGAGCAGTCAATTAGGCATAAATAGTGGAGAAAAGCGTTGATAGGAGATTGGAGAACTGGAAGCGCAGCTAAACGGAGTTTTTTTTTTAAATGCACGTGTAGGTGAATTGAAACACTTGAGGTGATACATGAGTTCATCCTAACGTCAATTCAAGGAACAAATGCTCACCTAAGGGCATTCAAGGTTCCATTCAATAGAGAGAAAAGTGGAAAGAAGAGAAAAATTAGATGACGTTATATCTCATACTACTACGTTTTTTTAACTTTTTAACTCTAAAAAAATGAAGAGATTTTGAGGAACAAATAATACATCGCAACAGAATTTTTACTTCCGAAATGTCAAGATTACAAATTTTTTATGTATTGTGAAATTAGTTTTTTTCCCCTCTATTTTTTCATGTTCATTTGAAGATGAAGGATTAAAAAAAAAGAATTTCCAGTTTTATCATCCTCCCATTTTCTATTCACCCTTATTCTGTCCCCATCCCAACAAAACATAATAGGAAAGACAGGAAAGTAATTATGAACAGAATACATGCCATGGGCTTGATGATACCAATACATAATTTTTTTTTATTAATCATAAAAAACGTTTAAAAAGAGCATCACATTATTGCAGCACGTTTTAAGAGTGACAGAGAGAGAATTGGAAGAAGCAATACACTTCGCTTTTCAACCAACAATATCCAACAAGCCAAACAGCTAACGAACCACAAGAAGATTGCTGCTAATCATCATCCTAACATAAACGAGCACTAGGACAACCTAACAGAACCTGGTGACCACATTCAATAATAGAGAATGAGAGCAAATGGTAGTAAACAATGAAGGATCTCTCAGAGATTTCATGGTTTCCAGAGAATGGTGGTGTCTGCAATCATGGAAGTGACCACATATGGGTCCATGTTAGAGGCTGGCCTCCTGTCCTCAAAGTAACCCTTTCCTGCTTTCTCTGTGTCCCTCCCAACTCTAATTGATGCACCACGGTTTGCAACACCCTGTCCAATTCCAATTGGCCAGAATAGTGAGATATTTTTTAGCACATTATTACAAAACATCTTAATCTAATCACCTTAGTTATGAATAGAAGCATGAATGAGTCAAAAGTAAGGACTTGAATCTTACCCATAAGAAGGTTTCGATATTGGCAGTCTCGTGCTTTCCTGTCAGACGACGCTCGTTGCCTTCACCATATGCAGCGATGTGCTCCTTGTGCTTCTTGCCCAACTTCTCGATTGCCTTCTTGATGACTTCATATCCTCCATCATTTCTCATGGACTTGGTACTGGCATATTATCAAACATTTGTCATGCATGAGGGTGGCAAGAAAACGAAAAATAAACTTCATACTACTAATCCTCCCACGAGCATCAAAGTTTTACCTGTAGTTTGCGTGAGCACCAGCTCCATTCCAGTCACCCTGTTACGTAAAAACCCAAAACAGGAATGTCAACATGGGACATGGATATTTGAGAAATCAAAATATTTTGAAAACAGGGAATTTTTTTATACCGGAATTGGCTTGGGGTCAAAGGAAACCACCACACCAGCAATCTCACAGATCCTCTGTTACCAAGAAACAGAGATGTTAATTGAAACTTCACCTTTAGACCTAGTCAATAATTAGTCTATCACGCAATCGAATGCTAATAGAACAATTTTCTCCCTATACAAGAACAGTTTCTTTTTGTAGTTTTTAAATCGTTGCCATGCGGTACCTCCAAGATGTAACGAGCACACCACAATTCGTCACCAGCAGAGATACCAACTGCAGGACCAACTTGGAATTCCCACTGCACAAACATACTGAAAAGGTAAGAAAATGATAAAAATTTGTTGAACAAGACCGAAGAGTAAGACAATGAGAAATAGAAAGATTGCAATATACTTGGCCAGGCATGACTTCTCCATTGATTCCACTGATGCTGATGCCAGCATATAGGCAGGCTTTGTAATGTGAATCTACAATGTCACGACCAAAAGCCTTGTCTGCGCCAGCACCACAATAGTATGGTCCCTGGTATAATGAGATAGAAATGTTAACAGATAAAAAATTCTGCTTTGTCCATGATCATATCTATACATTTAATTTAATATCAAATATAATATAATTAAATAAGAGAAAAGGAATATTATGTTGTGACATGTAAAAGTAGCTTCAAATCACATAGCGCTAGCATGGACTAAGAGCTCTATAAGCATCCTATGAGGATCTTACCACTTGTGTTGGTCTCTATTACTTATATTTAACATTTAAGTAATTCCTACTTAGTATTTGAAAGTCAAATGAGGAGGATTAAAAAAAAAAAGACTGATTAATTTTGCGAAAGTGTGCACGTTTAAGCTGGACCTTAATGAGAAAATTAAGTGGGTGTACAAAACTTGAAAGGAAGAGAATCTTCACCTGAGGTCCAGGAAAGCCACCAATAGGCCATCCAAGAGGCCAGTGTACATCTTTCTGCAACAAGGTGTATTCCTGCTCAATGCCATACCTATTTCCAAATGAAATAAAGGTATAGAGTAAGCACAAAGGCATTAAGTCATGAGCCAAAAGATTATTCTGATACAAACATTAAATTAAAACACAAATAATACCAAGGTTCTTCGGCAACAACATCAGGATGGCTAAATATTTTTGCGGCAGAGTGTCTCTTGTTCGTGGGAATGGGTTCTCCAGCAGGAGTGTACGCATCACATATGACCTACGTTCATAGTCAAACATCATCGAAATGAAACCAATGTAATTATTGCAAAAGCTGTTAAAAAAGCCAAAACCTACCAAGATATTTTTACCCCTTCTGAATGGATCTCTGTAAATTGCTTGTGGGCTGTTGGTAGACATAAATAAATATTAGAAATACAATCCATGCGATTTTACTTTAAAGTATTTATTTTTGGGGGAAAAATTCCAAACAGAGTTAGTCTATTGAAAAATGCTTACTATAGGATCACTTCACTATCATCTCCAGGAGCTTGACCGGTGCTAGAACCATCATAATTCCACTTGGGCAGCTTTGAAGGATCACTAACTGGTCCTGGGAGAGTCTTTATATTCCCAAAACATTTTATAATTGTATAAGTAAACCAAAACAATATAAAAGTGATTTCATTCGAAGGTTGAGAGATTTAATTACTAAATTACCCTTGCTTTGCTCCTCAGGTCCATACCAGATCCACCGATCCTAAAAGATCACAAACGGATCAGAAATAATTAAAGAGTGATCGGTGGAAAAATAGTGGAAAAGTGTTAGGTAAGCAGGGGAGTTGGATGAGAAAGAAGCAGAGCAAGCAGTCAGCGTCATTTTAAGTCATTACTGCGTTAGTTGAGATTGTCGTCAATTAAAAGCCAGCAACAAAAAGGAAAGAACCATATTATTAACTGAAGACAAACAGGAAAAAAATATCTCAGAAACGTCAAAAAAAAAAAAAAGTATTCATGAAGAACAGAAAACTGAATAGAAAATCAAAAAAGAGATCAGAGTAAGCTTTAAACAAAAAGAAACAGGGGAAACATAAAGAAGAACAAATGGTCTTCCCCCTTTCTGTTCAGCTCTATTTAATGGAATTTCAAAAGATCAATACTCACAATCATAAACCTAAATCACTGCTCTTCTTAAAAACGTATTTCTTATATTCTAGGAAGTTTTTCCAGAGGTTAAGTAGGTGCACGCAGCGGAAAAAGTAAACCAGAGCACAGAGAGTGATCGATCAGCAAATAGACGAATAAACAGGCGAGCACGTAAATTCATGCATATGAGGAAGAGCCAGAAGCAAGACATACCATATGTACTCAGCGATCACCTTCTCGGTGGACTCCGAGAGGTCGAGGTTGATGAGATCTGAAAGCAGAGACATCTCGGAAACGAAGGTCTTCTTCACAACTAGAATCTGCGCAGAGACTTGACTTTCTCTCTCTATCTCTGCGCTCTTTGGATTCAATACAAAAGGTGTGAGCGGAACCCCAACCCGCGCAGGTTTTTATAATGCCGTCCCCTACTTGGAAAGCATCAAACAACTTGTAAAATTTGCGATTATTACTAAATTTCTAAAATTAAATACAAATAAAGTCCACAGCCTGTCCAGCCTCAGCCTGCAATTCGTTTGCTATTATTAATTTATTTAATTTTTGTCACTGAATCTTTTTACTTTTATTGTATAATACTCCTCTGGTCCTTATTATAAGACCCAATTTGA